AACTGAGACTGGGAGTTGGTTCCATAGGAGAGGAGCTTGATAGCTAAAGTCTCTGCCTCCCATTCTACTTCTGTGGACTCTAGGGACCACAAGTAAACCTGCACTCTGAGAGCAAAGTGCTCTGCTCGGATGATAAGGCTCTACGAGGTCTTTAAGATACGATGGAGCCTTGTCATTAAGGGCTTTGTATGTTAGGAGAAGGATTTTAAATTCTATTCTGAATTTTACAGGGAGCCAGTGGAGAGAAGCTAATATGGGAGAGATATGATCTCTCTTGCTAGTTCCTGTCAGTACTCTGGCTGCAGCATTTTGGATTAACTGGAGGCTTTTTAGGGAATTATTGGGACATCCTGATAGTAAAGAGTTACAGTAGTCCAGCCTGGAGGTAACAAATGCATGGACCAGTTTTTCAGCATCACTTTGAGACAGGATGCTCCTGATTTTTGCAATATTGCACAGGTGAATTCATTTGAATTTGGTTTATGTGTGATTTAAAGGACATATCCTGATCAAAGATGACTCCAAGGTTCCTCACAGTAGTACTGGAGGCAAAAGCTATGTCATCTAAAGTAACTATATGATTAGACAGCAGATTTCTAAGGTTTTCAGGCCCAAGCACAATAACGTCAGTTCTGTCAGAGTTTAGAAGTAAGAAGTTGCAGGTCATCCAGGCCTTTATGTCTGTAAGACATGCTTGAAGTTTGACCAGCTGACCTGATTCATTTGGCTTCATAGATAAATATAACTGAGTATCATCTGCATAGCAATGGAAATTTATGTTGTGCTTCCTGATAATATTGCCTAAAGGGAGCATGTATAAAGTGAAGAGAATTGGACCTAACACAGAGCCCTGTGGAACGCCGTGACTAACTTCAGTTTGTGTGGAACATTCGTCATTAACATGAACAAATTGAAATCTTTCTGATAAATAAGATTTGAACCAACTTAGTGCAGTTCCTTTAATCCCAATAACATGTTCAAGTCTCTGCAGTAAGATGCTGTGATCAATGGTGTCAAAAGCAGCACTGAGACAAGTCCTTTGTCTGAGGCTAGGAGAAGATCATTGGTGACTTTCACCAATGCGGTTTCACTACCTACTATGATGGACTCTAAATCCTGGCTGAAAATCCTCAAACAAATCATTCTTGTGCAAGTGGTCACATAACTGCTTTGCAACAGCTTTTTGAAGGATTTTGGAAATAAATGGGAGATTGGATATTGGTCTATAATTAGCTAGGACACCTGGGTCAAGAGTAGGCTTTTTGAGTAGAGGTTTAATTACTGTAAGTTTAAAAGCCTGTGGAACATAACCTGTTAATAGAGAGAGGTTAATCAGATCTAGTATGGATGTGTTGATTAGGGGAAAGACGTCTTTGAGCAGCCTGGTCGGGATGGGGTCCAGGAGACATGTTGATGATTTAGATGAAGCAATTGTTGAGGTCAACTCAGAGAGATCTATAGGGGAGAAGAAGTCCAACTGAATTCCCTATTGAAGTCCCTATTGAATTTACAACAGAAAAAGTGACAAATCCTCTTAAAACAACCACAGAATTTTTTTTTCTAAAGCATTATTTTACTGTCAGAGTTCTTGGCCAACAGATTTGTTTATTGCTTCATTTCACTTGAATTATGTGTAGAAATAGAACAGAGAAAATAACATGCGTCATAAGAGAAAATGCCACTAAATACAGTGTATGTGCCAAACCAAACTTAACTCACAAAACATTTCATACATCAACAAATTCACTGAAATGTCACAGTGCAAACAAAGCTGTGCAGGAGAATGTGCTGTGCGTCTTCATTCTGCAGGTCTCTGTAAAGCTTCTCTACGTGTGTCCTGTCAGAGTTGTTTACTGGCAAATGGCAACAGAGTCTTAAAACTTGAATCCTATTAGTGTTTGCAAAGACCCAGGAGTGGGCTCAGCCCTGTCGAGCGGGTCGAGTCCCCAGGAAGGGAAGACACTGTATGTGCTGAGGAAACACTGGGCCCGAGCGGGTCAGAGCGCGAGCTCTGTGCTCGTAGGGGGCATGTGAGAGGTGGCTGAGCTTGGCATCCTCCCCTCTCTGCAGCAGGAGTGGTACGCTCCGGCTGCCTAGGTGAGCCTCCACTGCGCTGTGGGATCAGCTCATTGTCCCTGGGGCTGTGCTACAGAGTGGGTGCTCCTGTTTCTGGACGTGTTTGCTTTGTAGAGGATAAAGAGAAGAGCCTTACTTCACCTCCTCTCCTTTCTCCTTATGTTTGGTTTCATCTCCTCTGATTCAGTCAGGTGGTTTCCTGACAAGGAGGATCAGAACAGGACGAGTGAAGCTGAGATAACGGCAGGTTTTCTTTGTCTGGATGACACACTAATGTCCAGAGGCGGCTGTAACCATTTGACAGAGTTTTCTGTGGCCTCCTGAGATTCATCTACAGGTGGAACAAGGTGGATGGCGTTAGTGCAGGTAACAAGTTGAACTGCTGGAGCCTGTGTGGATTCATAAGACAGTGTGTGTGTGTGTATTAAATAAATGGGACAGCTCATCTCATGTTCAGGCAAAAAGCAGCTTCTTTACCACAGGCAGGTTGTATCTGTACAGGTTCGTGCGTTGAGACCATGAGCAACAAGTGTTTTATGAGCCTCGGTATTTATCAGCTGCAGTTTATGGGAGGTTCTTCCAGCGTTTTGAGCCTAAGACAGAGAGCAGCTAGGTCTAGGGAGCCTTTATATTTAGCATTTTTGGGAGTTTTTCCTGGTCTGACTCGAGCAAGAAGTAACACTCGTAAAACATTTTCCTTCTGCAGTTGGTTCCAGATTTGTATTGACTCTGAAAGCAGGATTCCCCCCCTTCAATAAGTATTTCATGAAATCAGGACATTTTGTGCCTCATTTAAAATCTAGGGGTGTGCACAAAATATCTCATCATTCCTATGAAACACTTGACACTGATGCAGAAATGTGGTTAAAAGTTCAGTGAGGGTTTGATTCGTTTAGAGATTTAAATGCTGCTCTCTGGTCTGGGTTTTCATCAGCCTTAGATGTGAGTTAATTAAGGGGCCAGATTAGCCAAAACACAACACTCCCCTCACTCCTACATGATGTAGAGGAAAACAAAGGTCAGCATTTTCTGTGGAACTTCTTTTTTGTTCACATCCAAATGGAAAAGCCCATGAAACAGTACTCCAACAGCTTTAAGAAACCAGGCAGTTCATCGTGGTTCAGTTGCTATGAGTGAATACTGTGTTGTTACGAGCACACACTGCAGGAAAAGAAGAGATTGTTTTGCAGATGGAGGGCATTAACGTTGTGTTGGCAGTGCTTCTTAGAAAACATGCATGCTGTTGAAAATGACAGCATCTAAACTGAAGTACAGACAAAACTGGCGACTTAACTGACTTTAACATTTCTGTGAAGAAAAGACACGGCGGTTGGTCAGTGAGGTGCTGATATCAATCTGGTTCCACAGCTTGTGTGCTTCTGTTCCCTCCTCCTGTTAGTTTTCGTTGCTGTGCAGGCGGTGCCACACTGATAAGCCCAGCCGTGATGACACTGGCACTTTCTATTGTGTGGTTGTGTTCAGAGCTCAGTGCGCCCACGTTGGCCTCGTGTCGGCCCCACAGGCTGCGACAAGCTGGTGAATCAGCAGGGTGTGATGCCATCGAGCGGCCTGAGTGGAAAGGCGAGGGGCCGATGACGGTGTGGATGTAGTCAGAGACACAGCAAGGCGTGATTGTTGAAAGGTAAACATCCTCCTGTATGAACACAGTGTACAATGTGTCAGACGTTTCCCTGTCCAGATACACACCATACATCACTTTGTGTACATGTGTTTGTACTGCAGAGATGTCGGTGTGTTTGTGTTGTTGTGCAAATACAGGCTGGGCGCTCTTAGACAGAGTGATGTAATGGTGGAAGGCCTGGGTGCTGAATGGCACGGGTTGGGTACTGACGCTGCATTTTACTTTTAGCGGTTCAAGAGATTTAATCCTGCTTTGTTTATGCAGCTCTGTTTATCCCTAACAGCCCCCACACACACTCTGGCATTGGTGGTATCTCTCCGAACAGACCCTTCCTGAACATTCCTGTCTGTGCTGTTCCCTGACAAGGACACTGAAGTCCTGTGAAATACTGAGTCGTGATGGAATTCAACACTGATAACAGGACGGAGTACAGTGTTGGTTTCCCCTGAGTACAAACATCTCAGTCAGTGTTACTGAGAAACATAACAGGCCTCTGTCACAGAAAGAAACTCGGAGTTGGACCGTGCTGCATTTGGGTGAAAAGTGCCAGACCTGCAGCTTTAAACTGATGTTGAATTCTGAATTTGGTTTTGATGTCATCAGTTCATTTCACCAGGATCGGCCACCTTTAGAAATGTGTCGCCTGTATGTCAGACTGATAGTCTGTTAATAACCTAAATCATAAAAGAGAAACTGTCAGAATTTATAATAAGGGTCAAATGATCAAAAGAATACAGTTTTAATGTAGCCATTAAAATCTTGCATTTGGTTTTAGAAAACCCACTGTGAGCAAGCCAGAGTCAGGATTTGCTCTATCTTTGACATGGATCCCTTTGTTGTTCTACCTTGTGACGACCCAAGCTCTTGTGGCGTTTATGTCACGTTGACTTCACTTTCCCAGCAGCCCCGGTGGCTCTGCAGGCCCAGCCACCTGCAGCCCAGGCGCTAGATTAGAGCAAAGACGCTGCACAGGACAATAACTCCTCCTCAGGCCCTAATCCCCTTAATAATCCCAGAGGAAATCTTTTGGCAGCGTGTGCGGGGGGGGGGCAGATTCCTCAGGGTTGTCTCTGTGTGACCCGTGGGGGCTGGTGT